TCCTGCTTCCAGGTTCCTGCCCTGAGTTCCTACCTTGGGCTCCCTAATGAACTGTGACCTGGGAGATGTAAGACAAATAAACCCTTTCCTCCCCAATTTGGTAGTGGTCAGTGTTCTCTCACAGCAATGGAGAAAGAAACTAGGACAGTTCTTAATAGGAGATTTAGCCTAAGTTATCAAGAGTGCTATTGATGGGAGCTGGAGAGATGGCTCAGTGGTTAAGAACACTGGCTGCTTTTGCAGAGGACCCAGGTTCAGTTCCTAGCAGCTAACAATTACCTATAGTTCCAGTTCTGATTCAATAAACACCCTCTTCTGGCCTCCATGGGCACTGCACACATGTGGTGTACGTGCGCACATGCAGGCAAACACTCGTACACAAAAATTAACAATAAATAAATCTAAAAAGAATTAAGACAAAATAAGAAAGTGTGTTCTCTAATGCAATGGTGTCCCTGGTCCTTCCTCATCCCAGACAAGAAAGCACTTCATTCTGTATTTGGAGATGGACACAACAGCACCCACATGGCAGCTCCTAACCATTTGTAACTTCAGTTCCAAGTGATTCAATAAACACCTTCTTCTGGCCTCCATGGGCACTGCACACATGTGGTGTACGTGCACACATGCAGGCAAACACTCGTACACAAAAATTAACAATAAATAAATCTAAAAAGAATTAAGACAAAATAAGAAAGTGTGTTCTCTAATGCAATGGTGTCCCTGGTCCTTCCTCATCCCAGACAAGAAAGCACTTCATTCTGTATTTGGAGATGGACACAACCTACCACCAACTATCAATTGCCAAAAGGTCCTCAGCTAGGGTTGGGTCTTCTGAACAACCTCCAATTTCTTTCAGGTGTATCACATTATATGAAGATGTGCACCTCCTTCCCCCTTACTTTCCCCACTTTCCCCCACTGTCCCATCCTGCTATTCTAAGAAGGATTTTTTTAAAGATGTATTGAGAGAGAGAGAGAGAGAGAGAGAGAGAGAGAGAGAGAGAGAGATGCATATATATGCATGCCATGTGTGGGGTTGCCCATGGAGGTCAGAAGAGCATGTCAGATTCCCTGGACCTGGAGTTACAGGAGGTTGTGAGCTGTCCAACATGGGTGCTGGGAACCAACCTGGGTCCTCTGGAAGAGTAACAAACACTCTTAACCACTGAGCCATCTCTCCAGTCCCAGAGCATTTTCAGACTAACAAGTGGGAAATGCCATTAATGCTTTTCAAGGCCCACCAAAAACTGATACAGGGGCCAAATGAATGGCTCAGTAGTGGGCAAAGTGCTTGGTATAGAAGCCTGAGAACCCAGTTTAGATGCTCAACACCTATGTAAAATGTTGGGCTTGGTGGCACATGCCTGTAATCCTAGCTCCAAGAAGATAAATACAGACAGATCCCTGGAACTCTTGAACCTGACAATCGAAGCTGAAACACTGAGCACCAGGTTTAGTGAAAGACTACCCCAAAAAATAAAGTGGAGAGGGATTGAAGAAGACACCTAGCATTGACTTTTGTCCTCCACGCGCATGTACAGGAAAACACATTCATGTACCACACATGCACACACAAAAGGAAAAGTGAAATAATACTCTAGTGATGTGAGCAGGCAGTGAAGAATTAATCCGGCACTGTAAACTCAGGTCGCACGTGTGCACCCTGGTGCTTTAAAACACACCTATCTGCGATCACCCTGTTGCACTCATGTCTGAACAGCGACAAGAGGACAGGGATCGTGTCACACTCCTCAGACTTTATGGTTAACATTCCTTGCCAAATTCTGGAAAGATCTCGAAGGTTGAAGATGTAATGGAATTTAGAGGGTGTGGGCAGCATCTTCACCTAGAGATGAAAAAAAAAAAGTTAATACTCCCAAATTCTCCGAAAAAACTAAAAGTTCAAAGTCTTTAGGAATACTCTAGTACACATATCCCATTTTAAAGTCTGGTGAGCAAATAGGTCAAGATTAAGACCGTATTACAATGGATTCAAGAATAATGCACAAGAGATGGATTCCAACCCCTGTCCTACCACCATCAGTCAGCTTCAAGCAAGTGCCTTTCCATGAATTCTCAAGAACAATGTGAACTGTGAGAAAAATCAGGTCTAATCACAGCTAACCTTACTAGTGGGCAGGGATGGGAGGGAGGGAGGGAGGGAAGGAGGGGGGAG